TTTAGTTCCATACAAAAAAAATATTTAAAAATCGTTCTGAATTGATTAACGAGGATTAGGCACTGATTCTATCTCTCAGTCACTTGTACTCGCTTTTCACCGCATTCCAATAGTCTTCCACATTGCATAAGTGAGGTAAAGAAGTTGGCATGTGGAGTGCTGACTATCTTCGAATCGATATATTCGTGAAAGCAAGCCCTTGCATGAATACAATTAAAAGTAAAGTAAGAAGCCAACTAATAAATGAAAATTTACAGTCGTGTTTGAAACTTAAAACAACAAGTTATGAGCCAAATTTATCCAAACTTTCTAAAACCATGCAAAGCCATGCCTTCCACTGAATTTGTTTGATCAATTGTTTGTTATTGAAGTACAAGTTACTGTTGTAAATAAATAGATATTTTTTCTTATGATAAATAGATATTCTTTCTTATGAGTAAATAGATTAGTTTTTTATCAAAAAATTTTATTTACCTACTGCGAGTAGGTACTATTTATTTTTGGCAAGAAAAAAAATTGTGGCTCTAAAAACTTTGAAATTTTGTAAATTGTAATTTTCGACTCTTCCGATTCATAAAGTTGACGACCCCTGGACTAGACAAATAGAAATTGTGTGTACGAGGTGACAAACTCAGATGTACCCCCCATGAATACCTACTCCATCCAAATCGCAAACCCAAACAAAATTTTGGTGTGGTGGAACAAATTCCAAATTCTAATTCATCAATAAAAGCTTATCGTTAGTTGGAAATAGTTAATACTGACTCGGTTACAATATCGTTTTATTTCGCGTGGTAAGCACACAAATAGATTAAAACTGTATTTTTTGAAATTTGAGGTTGGATTCAACTTAAACATTTTAATATTTCTAAATTTATAGGAGAATGAACGTGGCGAATGTTATTCTAACTATTGGGATCCGTCAAATGGGAAGAGCCTAAAAACATGGCGCCGATTAGGGAAAATTTATCGTAGTTCCTATAGTGTACCGTGCAACTTCCAAGTTTTTAAATTACGATAAAATGATAAGTATTGACACAATATGTGATTGGGCTGACACAAAGCTTAGGAAAGGAAATTTCGTTGAAGGTGAATGTGTTTTTAATGCCAATCACATTATAAAATTCGGAAATAACAAATCCGGAAGCTAGCCTTCAAATTCCGTCAAGTTTACTGCCTACTTTTTAAAAATTTCGGATTTAAAAAGTGATTATTCACGTTATATAATTGGTGAGGTAATTCTGGATGATTTAAGCAATTTCATATCAATGACTTGCACGTGCAAAGCCGATTTAAGAGAACGTTGCAAACACATTATTGCAACTTTGTTGTATTGCAGCAGGTAGGTTCTTAACCTCAAAATACTTATATCGTATCATTAGAATTGTGTTAAATCAATTACACAGGAATGAATAATTTCTCACTTTATAATTTTAGTATGATTCTAGTTTTAAATATTAAGGTTATGGCTGATGGTAAATACTTGCTGAAATATAATCATGTGCATTAAAATGACGTGAACAAATTTTTATTCCGGAATTCACTTGTTTGATATCTACTGCTTTCGTCCAAGTTTCTATTGGTTTACTTTTTTCTCTAATTTTCCGAATATATTTTTTACATATATATGAAACGGTTAGTTTTTATTGGAAAGTAGTTAATGTAGGTGAAGAGTGAAGATCTATGTCTGAAGTGCTATTGCTATGTATTAGATAATTATAATATTCCTAAAGAAAATTATGGAATATGAAATGAGAAAGCAAATATTAAATGTTTTCGAGAATTTTTCAAAATAAACTCAACTGATATTTCATATTTAATCAAGGATTTGAAGCATTTGTATTCAAAATAAACAGAGGCAAGGGAACACTTTGTTGGCTGCTATTTACATTCTCACGAGTTGACACGTATTGTACAAATGTTTTGTATGTGTTTTATAGGTAAGTACGAAGTTGAAATTTTCTTATCAGAAATAACATATTTGCTTTGCTTTAATATCCTCCCTCGCCGCCAACATTTTACCTCAATAAAAAAAAAATTCTCGTGAGATTCCGTTGCAAACGTTCCTACTGTCTATCAGCATGCATACAAACATACATACATATACATTCATACGTACTTATACATACAACATGTGTAATCTGTATTACGTTATACGCAATTATTGAGATCGGCCACTGACCCATATTTTTACCAAAAATGTATTGTGGGTAAATTTGAAAATGAAATTAGCCAGTTTATAAGAAGCAAAAGAACTGACCGAAATATTTTAAAATTTTTAGAGTCCCTTTTTTTTAAACAATAATTTCAAGCTTATTTGTTCTTTGGGAACCGCAGGAGATTTACTTATGGTGTACCTACACCTTGTTGCAATTGCAAGAATTCTAGGGATTTACTTTTTACATTGAGCAATTAAGGGGATTTGTTTAGAAAAGCGAAGATTCATTGGGAATTATGTTGTATGGTTGTATCCCAGTAAGCGAAACTTAGGGATCTAGGCTTATCTGCATACCACTTATTTAAAACAACCGAATTTCCGAATATATTTTATTAACATCAAATTTTACACTAATAAATTATCAACTACTAAAATTAAATACTATATTAAAAGAATGAATCAGTGAATAGGATAATGAATTAGAAAAAGATGAATTAGAAATCGAAACGTCTTGGCTAGGATTCTTTACAGTTCTCTTTGAAAATTAAAAAAAAAAACTTTTGGGTGTTTCATTCCCACAAGCCAGTAATGCTGGTGGGCGGGCAGTCCCTCCGGACTGTGCCGGAAGGTAGGGCGGAAGGTCCTCTTCAGCCTGCTTTCAGGAATCGTGGGAATGGGTGGGTGGTGATTCGGGTGAGAAAGATGAGACGGATGAAATGAAGACAGAAGAGAATGAAAGATTATCTGTGGAATATTACTGCCCCATCAGACGGACCCGGAATCGAACCGACGTCCTCCCGAATGCTAAGCAATGGTCTAAACACACTTTTAAAACGCGCCGTTTTGGCTTATATAGGGATGCTTAAAACTATGACACAAGTACCGTTAGAGTATCTGCAAGGGTAGAGTTGTGCTACACGATTTCTGTTTTTTATTGCACCTAAAGCTAAAAGTCTGTGCGTTCTTTGTTAACCCTTGGGCGATGAGTAAAAAGTAAAGTAAAAATACATACAAATAAAATTCTACGAAATGAACATACAATTAAATAAAGTAAAACATTGGATTACAACAATTATAAGGATTTATTGAAATTATTGAGAAACTACGAAAGATTTGTTTATATGTGGTGGGGAATTACTGATTGCGCATGCATTTTTCCACATGCGTATTACGTTCAAAAATTTCGCCATTTTATTGTCTTGCAATTTATGGTACTGACAAAACTGTCATTATACTACGTATATTCTTTAGTTTTTAATGTTAAACTAATGTATTCTTCAACATATTCTAAATAAATATTTATACTATAAAATTGTGGCAGGTACAAGTAAATACATTTAATATATAAACATTTATTTTAACCGTAAGTTATTTACATATATTATATATAAAGTAAACACCAACCCTTCTTCATACATGACACAACTAAAAAAACATTTTAAATTTAATATACCTACTAACAACATGGTTCTTTTTTGAAATACCAAAGCATAAAAATATCCTTTCTTCCATACATTACTTTACTGTCCTTTATCCTTCACCCTCCAGTATGCTTCCCTTTTCTTTTGTTACATATTATGCTTTTCAAACGAATGAGACCCTTCCCGCTTTCAATTATCATCTCACTACACTCATCCCAATGTTTATTTTGATCACAATTTCCCAATACATGCAACAGCATCCTCTACATTCATTTCCTAAACCTTGCAATTACATCCACCTCTTTTATTCCTTGCAAATATACTGCCAATGCTCCCACATCGAAATCTTTACGCATCCATTTTACTTACCTTGATCTATCAATTTTCCTCAGATCATCGCCTCTTATCCATCTCTACTTATCTCTACTTCTGAGTCATTTAAGTATATATTTAATAATTGTCTTAATCCTTTCTTCATCGAATTTTTTTTTGTCTCCCTATTATCTATTCTTATAAACACTGACGTTTCTATATATATGTCTCCAAAATTCTATCTACCAACCCCCCTTCAACTTTATTCGTTTTTAACATACTTTGCAATTCTTTTCTGTCGACTTAATCAAATGTCATTTTTAAATCTACAAATACTACAAATATCTTTTTTTTTTCAATTTTATCTGTTTGTTGTTTAATAAAAATATCGCATCGATAGTTCCTCTCCCTTTGCAGAGAATTGGGTCGTCATAATCATAAAAAAATTGATGAACTAATGTTCCGGAATATTTTCTAAAACACAAAAGGCAATAGGCCAAAAATAGGAGCTCCTTTGGAGCGATCAATGTTTGATTTCTTGAAACTCACACGTAATATGTCATATCTCCAAGTCAAAATTATAATTTTTACCCATGTTGTTTTATTAAAATGCATTAACAGTGACATTGATGAAAGAATGGATTGTAAAACATAAACACAATTTGGGAATATACTGATTACTTAAAAAAGGTGTAAAACAAACATAATCATTGTAAAATATATTATATATTAATTAACCGATCTAGATTTTCAACAAAATTATAGCAGTCATTCCCTCTTCATTAGACTTCAGATGGTGTCATGCCATTAATATTTTTTTATTTACACAGAATCTTTTATTATTGTTTTATAGAAAAGAGTAACTAATTCATTACGAATACTTGTCTTCATTATCATCTCTCTATTTTCAAATTGTATTTCAAAAAATAACGAATCTAGAATAGCTGTTGCCATCTAACATGCGGTAGATGAAAATTAAGTAACTGATATAGGCGATATCTTCATCTGTTAGTCGTTACAGCATACAGCGCTATCGTTCGGTGATTATAAGCACTTTACTTTTAGGAAACAGCTGATCTCGAACCCAAACAAAATAGTTTGCAGTGTTATTCTTTAAGGCTATCTTTATTTTGTGTAAAATTGTGTGTATTTGTAAACATATAACTATAAGCTAGTTTCTTTGATTTTTTTAATTCTGTAATACGTAGAAAATGAATTAGAAGTCCTGATAATGTCATCACTAAACACATTAAGTTCTAAACAACCGTTTAAATTTGTAGAAATTCCCTTAAACAAGTTCACCAATGAAGCCATACCCCATCATAAAGAAGTTTTTAAACGCCAGAGAAATGTCATACGAGAGGTAAATAACTATTCACTCTTTTAAAATTATTACAGACAAAGTTTCGTGCTATAGCTAATTGCTGTTTCCAATTATAAACAAACTGAAAGAGAAATTCAAGAAAACAAAAGGATAGTTCAACAACTGCGTCATTTAATGTACGAACTTGACACCCTTCGAACACAAGTACAAGATTCAGATTTAGACAAATTTGATTCAGTAACATTATCTTTAAGGAAAGATATTATAACAATAATATGTAATTATACAGGTATCCAGCTGTTTATTATGTTAGATTTAATATAGTAGTTATACAGGTATGTCCATTTTTAGAGCTGGAAAAGTTTGCATTGTCTGTGATATCTCAAATAGATAAAGAACCCTCCGAATTAGAGAAACATTGTTATGAAAATCCTTTGGCAGGAGTGGCTCAAATACAACTGCAAGAAGACATCAATGATATAAAACTGGCTGAAAGGCAAAACACTTTGAACCAAGTGGAAGAGATTAACAATGATATAGAAGAGCTGCACGATTTATATACAAATTTAAATGAATTAGTTCATAACCAAGCAGAACAAGTCAATGAAGTTGAAAATCATGTTCAACAAACAAATGAAAATGTTACTTCAGGTCTTAAACAGATTATAAAGGCAGCAAAGTAAGTGTGCTGGTATAGAAACATGTGTTTAGCTGTTCAGAAACAAAGTATACCTGATATGTGTTGTTTATAATTTAAATCAAGTCAGTGTTCAAAGCATTAAAAAGGAAATATTCTTATCCTAACAGTGCCTCTATCTAATGTCGACATTGGCAATCATTTTGACTATCCTTACTGCATCCGCTGTAGCTCTAAAAAGTCCAGTAGTGGATGTAAAATTCATATTCTAATGTTTTTTGGCCATGAGATTCTTCTGCACCCTGGTCTGTACTTGCCAAGAATCTTGGTCTATAATATACCCTGTTGATACCTTTTCCCATTTCACATATTGTAACCAAACTTTTAAGTTTACTTGTAATAGTCAAGGATTCCTGTGATCAATGCTTTCACAGTGCTCGAACAGTTGGTCCGTATACTCATGTTTCCTCAGTAATATGGTATTTTGGATATGTTTGAACTCTGGATCATAGATCAGCGGAATCTGAGTTTCTGAACCATTACTTCCAGATAGTCATTCCATTCAAACCACTACTAAACATTTCACCATAATATGATGCTCTATCTAAAACAATCAATGGTCTTAACATTGTAACTCATCTTAGCACTGCTTTAATTAAAAAAGTTGTTAGTTTATAAGTTTTCATTGATATACTCTAGAATGAAGTGCATTTATAACTTGTCAAATTACAAGTCACTCCTTATAAGAATTGTAATAGTCTCCAGTATTTTGGCTTTCAATGTTGATTTCTTCTTTGATTTTATTTTTATTGAATGTAAATTTTAGATTGAAGAGAGTAACTTATCCAATAACAGGAGCATTAATAGGTGGTGTAATTGGAGGCCCTATAGGACTAATTGGAGGTCTTAAAATTGGTGGTTTAGCTGCTGTTGGATGTGGAATTATGGGTTATACAGGAGGAAAAATTATTAACAAATGTAACGAATCAAATTTGAAAACGTCCGAAGTACATTTGTCTGAAAATAAAGAAAATGAAGAGAAACTTAGCAACTGTGTCAATAAAAAAGACATTTGATAACTTATTTATTTTAAATGTATTGTTTTTAATGAACACCAATATTTAAAATATTTACATGAATATTTTCTTTAATAACCACACAAGGGAGTCGTCCATAAAATACGTCAATCAGAATTTCACCTTTTTGTACCCCTCGCCCCCTCTTCGTCACGCTAAGTTACATTTTCAGCAACCCTCCCCTCCCTAGCAAATATTAAGTCACAAAAGCTACGATTGTAATTAAATTAGCAAAATGAGAATTACTTTCTATCGTAATGCAATTTTATAAACTGCCAATTAAGTTAAGAAAAACATTAAAATAAAGTTGATAAACTACGAACATCACATTTTCTTAGCTCCCCATTTCCCTCTGTTATATGTCGTCACGCTAAGCAATACCCTTCTCTCCTTATTTGCAAACGTATTTTATGAACAACCCTAATTAGAATCTCATTATTTAAAGTATCCACATTACTTTTTCTATATTATTTATTCTAGTATTTATTTGAAAAATCTTTCCTTGTACTTGTCCTTTCGCTTTTATAATCAATAAAAATTTTTAGTGTATTCGTTGAACGTTTCCTTGTGTTCATCCAATTAGCAACTATTATTAATTGCTAAGCCTAATTCGTAAAAATGGGAAGGAAATCGCTATCTATCTATATATAATAACCAACTTCAAAAGATCCCTGTACTCTTAGTCAAATGATAAACAGTGCCACGACAAACCTTTTCGTTTATGCTTAGTTTTCTACCTTTCATTGATACCATTCAGGACTATATACTCACAATACTTACGAATTGCTTGTCTCCAAAATCTGGATTTTTTTCTCGCAACTGCAGACTCCCACACTAATTTTCGTTGAATACCGATGCTGTAATAAGTGTTTCAATTTTTGCTCCGTACAGTATGTAATAAGTAATTAGCTGCATATTGGAGTCTAAATAAGGATAAATTAATGAAAAAGCAACGTCAATCCACCAAAAATTTAAATACAATACAATATTGTCAAAACTGAGAAATACTGTTATTGAAATAAACAAAAATATTAAATTAAGCAAAAATATGAAACTAATGGGTGCATTTTATTGTTTAACATTTTTTTGGTATCGGATTTTTGATAGATATCTACTTTTAATATCACTTTTTATCCAGTTTGATCTCGATTTGTTTTTTTTTTTATTGGAGAAGCTTTTTAATATAACATAGAACTTGACAAATTTTACATTTGTATTTTTGTTTTAATTATGTGGGTATTGTAGTAGTGATCATTGTATTACAGACGTCGATTACAAAGGAATTTTGTTTATTTATTTACGTATCAGCTTGAACAATTATGAGATAATTCATCTATTAATTGATACTACTTATTTTTCTTTTAAGAAATGCGATTACTTTCAAAATAGACACAATCCATAGTGCATTACTTTATTTTTACTGTCTGACAACGAGAAAGTATTTTAATGGGTCACTGACGAAGCAAATAACTCGTCGAAGTTTCGTTTAGAGATAATAATTTCTATTTCATTTACATTTATGTAGTATCTACGTACAGAGACTTGCGTAATGATGTATTTCTTTTAAATAAAAAGAAAGACTAACAATGCTTTTTACAATAATCGGAGTTGGTGTTTTTGCATATGGAATTATTTATACGATACTCGTTTGTTTAGCTGATTGTGATTTACAATTAGCATTTTTCGAACGGTTCGGTAAAAAAATTCGTAAGTAAATAACTAATAAGGCTACCTATCTAACCTTAAAAAGACGTAGGTAATGCATTATCAGAGTTAATTAACTTTGAATAATATTGTAGGGAATTTAAAGGGAAAAGTCGTTTTTATTACTGGGGCTTCTAGTGGAATTGGTGAAGGAACGGCTCTTGCCCTAGCCAAAAATGGGGTTAAATTAGTACTTGCAGCCAGGAGATTGGCGGAACTTGAAAGAGTTAAGCAAAAATGTTTAGGTCGGTTTATTTTAATAAATATGCTTGGGTCATGTTTTAGAATCGACATCTTTAACTGTTTCTGCAACCATATTAAATCCTGTATCTTACCTCCTTCCCCTCTCCCAAAAATAAAATGTGGTTTTGCTGTGTTGCCATATAAAATGCAATATTCTAACACAAAAGGTTTATCAAATTATACTGAAATTACCTTTTCCTTTTATTTATGTTGTTATGATCGTAATACCTACATTTCAAATTCTCCAAGTATTTCTTACTACCTGTAACATATAAATGATCTTACAATGCGTAATCGCTTTTGTTAATAGCAGTTTGTAGTTTCTTTTACTTTTAAAAGTCAATTAATTACTTAAATAATAAGTATTACTTTTCTATGAGGAATAATTAGAACGTTTATTCTGATAAAGTATTATGAATATTAATTTACATTATTAAATTATCTCTCAGATGCTAGCATGCTTTAGCTACATTTTGAAATTATTTCCAAAGTGACTGTTGTATCCCTTTTACAATTAATAAATTGTTAATTATAATAATATCTTTAACATCTTAACTAAAGTTCTGTGATAAATAAGTATTGTTTCATGAAATGAAGATTTTGATGTTGATCACATATTTGTATGACCTGTAACAATTCTCTGAAGAAGCTCAAAATCCTGAGCGAAACTCTAAATTGAACAATTAAAGATTACTTAATAAGTTCACAACACAAATGAAAAAAGTAAAACTGTCGATATTTGGTAATATAATTGTCAATTGATCTGTATTTATTTTCACGTCCTTTAGTAGGGACATTATTATATGTATAAATATAGATATGTGGCAACATTGTTAGGATGCACTGCGCTTCGTATCTAAAGAATTTAATTCAGTAATTATGAACACAATTTTACCTTCATTCGCTTATTTTAACATGATTTTATATAATTTGTACATTAAGGGGTTGCAAAGCATCTCCGTTATTTCCAAAAACATTGAATACTTAATTATTTCTGTTTTTGTACCCTAATTTTCAAAAGTACACTTCACTCCGAAACATAAAGTTGGAGTTACAAAATATCTATGTGATGTAGGCGAAAAACTTTGAAACTATTTTATTTTCATTCGCGTTCAAAATTTTTATTCACGAAAATCAATTTTAAACTGCTGCTAACAGAAACCAATCTAAGTTCTTTCATGTAATATGGTGCACATATTCCATTTTCCATTTTTTCCTGCCTTTCGAAAATTCTGAAAAAATATTCATGTAATTCAAGTATTTTTAATTATACCTACGGAATAAATCTTTTAGAAATTTCGAATGGATTACTAACCAGTGAAGATGTGCTAATCCTTCAAATGGACATGTTGGATATTAAATCTCATCAAAAATACTTCGATCTCGCCGTCCAACATTTTGGAAATGTCGATATTCTGTTTAATAACGCAGGTCGCTCCCAAAGGGCAACCTGGGAAAATATTGAATTGGACATTCATAAACAACTTTTTGAATTGAACGTTTTTTCGGTTGTAAATTTGACTTCCATTGCTGTTAGGTATTTCAATTCAAAAGGATCAGGGCATGTTGCTGTTACATCCAGTTTAGCTGGTGTAGTAGGGGTGCCGTTTTCTGGTTCTTATACTGGATCCAAACATGCTATTCACGTAAGTTTGCCTTTTAAAGTAACCACTTATAATTTAATATCTGCATAAAAAACTTCAGTTTCACTTTTTAGTAAATTTATTTTTCAAGGGAGGAGTAAATTTATTAGGTTGTTTATATCACCCCCCTAATGTGTGTTCGCATATATATACCTTTTGATAAAATTATTGTTTTTTTAAATTCATTTACTTTTGATTTTTAGTAAATTATGTACTGATTTTCAATCAGTTAATTGATGATTACATTTTTAGGGATTCTTTAACTCTTTGAGAACAGAAAAAACAGGAAAAAATCTAACTGTATCTATCATATGCCCAGGTCCTGTCTTTACGAATTTTTTATCAGAAAGCTTCACAGAGACAGTAGGAAAGGTATGCATATTTATATTTTATTATGGAGGGTAGAGGTACTATCTCTATTGTGAAAAAATGTCCGTCAAACTGCGTTAAATTAGGGTGGCGCCACAGTAACAACAAGAAAAATAAACAAGGACAAAATTACTTTGAACTACATTAATCTTTGAGACTAGACTATTGAGCGGCATGAGCTAGAGGTTTAGTCCATTGCTTAGCCAGTTCGTTACCGGGTCCAAGTTTTTCTGTGGTTTCCTTGGATCACTTAGGCAAATGCTGGGGCGGTAATATTCCACAGATAATCTTTCATTCTCTTCTGTCTTCGTTTCGCCCGTCTCATCTTTCTCACCCGAAACATCATCCACTCATTTCCACGATTCCTGACAGGAGGCTGAAGAGGGCCTTCCGCCCTACAAGCCGACGTAGTCCAGAGGGACTACCCGCCCACCAGAATTAGTGGCTGGTGGGAATGAAAAACCTAAAAAGAGTATACTGGACTGTCACTAGCCACTCTAGTCACTAAAAATATTCAATTTTCTAACTCGGCATACTTCAATCCGTCAACAACTGTTACATTTTTTTTTATGTTTTCGTGGAAGAGGGGAAATCTTCAAAAGACACCCAGCCGTCCGTACGACTGGGTAGCGTGACTGTTACATTCGTACCACACCTTTTGCCTATGTTAGCGCCATTATCCTCATGAAATTGACCACTCTCTAGAAAGAAAGAAGATCACGCGGTCAGTACTTGTCTCTTTTTCTCTTTCTTTACCTCATTCTTCCGTTTCTCAGTCACATTGAAACGCTTCTAACTTTCTCCACATTTAATAATTAGCATCTCCCTCATAGGAAAGTTAAGGTGCTGATCGAAATGTACCTATTAACAACAATATAATCTGAAAAAAGTCATAAAAATAAACCCTTTTTACACCATAAACAAATAACGTTTAAACTTAAAGTCTCTCTCAAGGACAATAATGTAATGTACTTTAAATTTTCCCTTTATTTTCTTCAACTTCAACCTCTAACCCCTCTACATTGAGTTGCAAAATCTAATACATAAATATTAATTGTAGCACACCCAATTTGTTGGGTAATATCAGGGCCGGATTTATATGGGGGCATTTGCGATCGGCGTCCAGAATTCCCACAAAGTAAGCCCCCCTTCCTAAATTATGTTGTTTCTATTACCGCAATAACCTATAGTGTAACCTAGCCCCGGAAAACTTCACTTGTGTCCTAACTTGAAGATGTATACTACTTACTTTATCCTATCCTCTCATATCTTAATTCCTACCTTATTCCTTATCTTCATTATCTTTACATTAATACTTCACTATTTTATCTTGCCTCAAAAATGTCGTCCCAACTGTTTCGTATTCATACGAGGTAAAGTCTAGGGGGTAGGGTTACAAAAAAAAAAGAGAAATCAAATCAATAGAACATTTGAAAACTTACCACAGTCAAGGCCCAATAAAACTTTTTCCAGCAAAAACAAACGCAGAAAAAGCTGAAATCGTTTTTTACTCGTGTAATTCATGTAATTTTCTACATAATTCCCTTTACCAATTCTAACAAGAGGGTCCTCACCTTATTTGTTCCCATGGGCCCCTGAATGTTGAACGTTGCACTGGGTAATATCTGTCAAATGATATATATTATTACAGAAGTATGGGATCAGTGCAAAACCTACAGATCGAAGACTGACAATGGAAAGATGTGGTGAACTTTGTGCCATAACGCTAGCCAATCAATTGGACGAAAGTTGGATGGCTCTGTTTCCACTTATTCCATTCACATATACAGCGGTATACTTTCCGCTAATTTTTAAAACGTTAGTACTCTTATATATGTTCCAACCTCTGAAAATTTTTTCATATTTTCTATAAAATCGTTATAATTTATTTTTGAAGTGAAACTTCTTTACGCACGGTAGGGTAAGTTCGTTTTATGCGAGTTGCTATGTAACGAAATCATGCAACGCATTTCCCCCGCTGCTGTCCCTATGTATTCTTAGATCTTTAAAACTACGCAACGGATTTTAATGCGTTTTTTTTTAGTAGATAGAGTAATTCAAGAGGAAGGTTTATATGTATAATACATGCATAATATAGTGGAGAAACACTGATTTTAGAGGTTTATAATGTGATGTAAATAAACACATTTTTTTGCGCTTACATTGCAAACGCCGAAAGAGCAGTGCGAGTCGAAAACATGCTTTAAAACCTTTAATATGTCTTCAAATATAAAGAAACATCTCGTTGATTTTTCCACTAATAATTGGTACCAATAACAGCACATTCGAGCACTGCAATTTTAGTGGATAAAAATGGTCAATTTTTCCGTGCAGTACGGATTATACGCTCCTCGCCGGTTGAGAGTTTGACCGAGAGTTGTCTCCTTCCTTTCCTGGCCTAATGTTGTTGTTCTCTACTTTGCGCCAGTCAAGCTAAAGGTCATGTCGCTAAAGAAACTAAACGAAGTATAGTAAGAAAATTGTACTTACTGTGACATTAATAAAAGACTACGTTTACCTGGGCCTATATGAACCAATACAGAAAGTAACAACAAAAGCACACTGAATGCTCCCTAAAATTGTAAACGTTTTTAGTGCACGTAAGTCATAATTAATGTTGTAGCTAAGTTCTTTGTATATTTGGTTTTTATGAAACTACGAGTAGAAGATTGTATAAAATGCAAGGTATTTCTTTAACAGTTTTAATTNAATTTTTTTTTTATTTTTCAACATAGTCCCCTTTTAGAAAGATACACTTCTCCCAACGAACCTGCCATTTTGATGACTTCCTCGTTTGAGCTAAATTTCTTTCTCGCTAGTCATTTCTTCCTGGTAGGGAACAAGACGAAGTCGCAGAGAGTCAAATCGAGTACGGGGTGTGCGGCTGCAAATTCATAACGTAATTCATGCAGTTTTGTGGCAACAACTCCTGATGAATATGCCGGTGCGTTATCGTGTTGAAAACGCACCTTCTTTTTCGCCAAATGTGTCCGTGTCTCCTTCAATTTTTTGTCGAAGCGATCCAATAACTCACTGTAGTATTGTCCAGTGATCGTTCTTCCTTTTCCTAAAAAATCCGTAAAATGATTTCCTCGGTAACAACGTTTGCCAGGCTTCCTGGTCGCTCCTATCAAAAACGGATCTTTGCCCACGTTTAAATTCGTTGAAGCAATATCTAACTGTGGTCGTAGATGGCGAAATGTCTCCATAAACAGTATCCAACTTTGTTTTCATCTCCTCGCATTTTTTCCCATCCGAAAACAAAAAGCGAGTTACCGAACGATACTGCTCTTTTTCCATCTTAGCGAAAATAACGAAACACGTCTCAGTCGAATGGCTGCCAAATCCAAACTAACCTATCAATCAGTCTGAAATTCGTTTTGGCGTGGTTTGATAGATAGCAGCACACGATGACAATACCAATTTCCCTCAGGAACATCCTCTGTCTTCAAATACGGGTACTTATTGAACCGCCCTCGTATATTTACTAGCAGCATTGCACCCGTGCGAAGCTTAATGTACGAATAATACCATTAAACCAATTCTTTAACCCCTATCCCGGTATGTTTGTGTGTTTGAAGAAGTTTTACTTCAGTAGCGTATTGTATAATTACACGTTGTATTTTTTTTTATTCTATTTGCAGCACTCTAAAGATCGTGGGTGTTAATACACTATTCAAGTTAAGAGACAGTAGTGATATCCAGTTAATGACTGAGGTAGTTACGGTATAGAAAACAGAGAGCACGTTTTCGTTTTGTTGTAGCATGCTTTGTTATTGCTTTTGTTTGGTATTGTTACAATGTACTTAATTATATTTGCTCAATTATTTTACACTAATGAATGTTGGTTTATGTGTTGCTTAATAATGAGGTAGTGTCGTACATGCTTTTAAAATACTTTATTATTTTGTGTTATTGCTTTTACAAAAAATGTTTATATTTTTAATTTATTGTATGTAACGTAACAATTAAAAATTGGTTGGAAATCGAAATAAAAATAATTTTTAATTAATTGCGATAAAGCATTAGCTATGCATCCATTCAAATATAGTAGAATTCGGTTATAGCGTCACCCTAACTAACGGTTGTCGTTATAACCGATGTTGTTATAACCAGAGATGTGATTTATTTAAAATGCAAATACAAAATGAAAATACTTATTTTTTGAGAAAAGTATTTTATATTCTATTTAAAACACTTTTCCAAACGTTTTTTTTATTTGTAAAATGCAAAATACATTCTTGCCGTTAAAAGTTTTGTTAGTATTACCGATCAAACATTATATAAAATGATTAATGAAAGTTGCTCACATTGGCCATTGATCGTATTAGAAGCTTAAAAAGGGGACAAAGAGGCATTCAATGAGGACCTTCTGATTCTTTAACAGAAGAGAGCTCAAAAAACTCCTTGGAAATGGATAATCTAAAATATTGGATCGATATTGTTTTCCGGGTTCAATGTCATGGTCCATGGAATTTTGAAGTTCCAAATTGATATCAGTATCTGCCAAATCACCATTTATCGTACCTTTAGCAAGGAACTACGAAATTCTATGAATTACGACAAAACAGCCCGAAAAACAATATCGAATTGATATACTCCAGCTGTGTAAAACTGAAAACTACAAAATATTGTGTGATATTAAATGCCTGTAATCCAAAATTCTCAGAAAACGATTCGAAAAGCTTCACTTATTAAATCTATCAAAACTAAAGAAACTATGGATTCCATTTCTTTCTCTAATTACAATGTGTAAAAGATCGGAAACAAAATGGAGTTGTAAATATTTTGATATAAAATGATTGATGTTGATTTTACATCAATAAAATTATTTGCAACCCTATTTTGGCTCTAATTTTTCACGCTAAACAAACTATTTTGGGATCAGTGTCTTTTTTCCAATTAAAACGGGTAACAAAGGTAAATAAGGAGTCACATAGAAGAATTATTTGTTGCTGAACTAAAGAAACTATTACCTAAAGACAGAAAAACTATATCTCAATCATTTCAAACAGAAAAATATGAATCATACTCAATCTTCGCAGCTGGTGATATAGTGTAAACACCACTATCAGCCTAGAAAAACTTCAATATTTAAAAAATTAGCAAATGCTTGCATTGTATACTTCTTAAATAAATGTAGAAAATTAAATAGGTATTTATTTAATAGGCTCGAGGGGCGCCTATGAGGTGCTAGCCTAGAGCGCTCTCGACATTTAATCCGCCTCTGTATTTAGGTATATATTTTACATTTGAAATAAATCAAAAAAGTACTTGCATTTTGTATTTAAATACTTTTAAAAACCCATGTTGCACATCTCTAGTTATAACCAATTTCTCATGTGATTTTAAAGTCAACATCGTTTGGATTTTTTTTATAAATATCTACTTTTTTAGAGTAGGTATCTACCTTGATTATTGGTTGGTTATTTATTTATTTTTATAATACCATATATATATTTTTATGTACCTACATTTTTCCTATTTTGCGGTGTTTTTGTTGTTGCCGATTGTCTGTTTTTATTTTTTGATTAATCTGCTTAATGTTGAATTTGTTTACTACTGCACTTTTTAGTAAATACACGATTAACGACTACATTTTATTATAATAACAATGCATGACAGATAATTTCTTTAATAAATGTTTATTTCAAACGATCCGTTACAAGTAGGTTATTAAAAAGTGATAAACATTTATTCCGGTAACCAAACCGAATGATCCAGGGTTGCCACCTAGCCAGAGCATCAGTTAACACTAATATGACATCATTAAAATAAAGATTATGAGAAAAACTTTGTAGTATTTCATGCTCAATTAAAATACTAGTGGTGATCAGACTGGGTTCCCACCGACCTACACTTTGATACAAAGTCGGAAAGCAAAGTGGAAAATCCTCTTCGCTAGAGAGTGAAAGATGAAATAATCGACATAAAAATATAACAAAAGTAAATGATAATATTTAGAATGGTACTGTTCCAGCATCTTTTATACAAGATCCAAGATAAACTCAAAACAGAAAGAATGTCCTCCCGAATGCTAAGCAAAGATCTAACCACTAAAAAAAAAAAAACATTTGGGTGTTTTATTCCCACCAACCAGTAATGCTGTTGGGCGGACAGTCCCTCTGAGCTACGCCTGAAGGTAGGACGAAAGACCTGCTTCAGTCTCCTTTCAGGAATCGCGGGAAGGGATGGTTGGTGGTTCGGGTGAGAAAGATGAGACGGACGAATTGAGGACATAAAAGAATGAAAAATTATCTGTGGAAACCACAGAAATACTTGAACTAAGGTAGACGGACCCCTAGCTGTTAGCTGTCTGAGATGTGGTGTTATAGGAAGATGAGGATAATGAAAAATCCAATTCATATTAATACCTTCGGAAATAACTACAATTAATTTTAATAACTTGAATAATTAGAGATTGGATTCCTGCCTTAGTAAACAGTGGAGGGGGGGGGGGGAATATTAAGCGATATGGTCTGCTATTTAAATCGCTTCTTAGCACTTGGAAGGATCCCCGTTCGACTGTCTAGCCCGCTTATTTTCGTCAAAGTTTTTTTGTAATTTCCTAGGATTACTTAAGCAAACGCTGGAAGATCAACTAACGTATCTCATTCTTCTATTATGTTCATTTCGCCAACCAACAGCCAAACCTTACTCACTACAAATCCTAAAGAATACTGAAGAGTGTGTTACTTTTTACTGTAGTGCCATTGTACAAAATGTGTTAGATCAGTGAAGCAGCATTCGAACGAATATTTTTTTAAAGCTGTTTCAATATTGAAGTCGTTATCTAACGTGTTTTTGCCTTTTATTTATCCTACGGGTTTTCCTGGTTTGGTTTCATCTGAATAAGAGAGTGATAGTCCTCAAATGGTAATGACATACTAAATGGACAACGAGAAAGCCAGCAAGGAGAAACCGAAAACTCATATCTAATCTGTTCATGTAACTCGGTATTAACTAGATGAAGAACTAGTTAGGTACGAGGTGGCAACATAGCTTCCAGTTTGGTACCAAATGGATGTTTATCACTCTTTAGTAAATATGCTGGAAGATGGTCAAAATGGGTAAGCATAATAATAATTGTGATGGGATACAATTCCAATCATCGTCAAACCCCAAATAACTATATTTTTTGCACATTCTGTGCCACTTCAGAAGAGAGCGTGAAAAATAATTTTGGGAGACTATCACAATTATTTTCTTTCCGATCCTTGAGAGATGTGATGTGGTTCAGGAGTTTGAACTCATTTAATTTCAAATCAAGTTGTGACATGTTTAGGCTGTATTATTTAATCCCCGATATACCATGAGAAAATAGATTTATATAGAACAAATTGTTAAGTTAGATGTCCAAAATCCAAAATTTGAAAACTTTAACGGAATGACCAAACCATTAAATTTTTGTTTATTTTGTACATAAATTAGTTTTCCAATAGGGGCCTACTGTTATGCTAACAGGTAACAACTTTGTTTTTGACTTTATAGCAACTTTTCTTAACAAGTAGAATGAATACAGATAAAACAATTGACGAAGTTTCATTATTTTAATGATCTGAGAATTATTTCAGTCAAAAACCATTATTGTATTGACATTGTCAAGAGTTCCAATGAATAGCATTACTGCATTTTATCATCAAGCAGTATCATTATTCTTAACTTAACGTTTGGTCAAAACAATTGTAGGTTTTTATAACAAAATATACTTCTCAGAATTCACAAAGCTTCTCAGTAAAACCATACAAATAATTCCTAAACTGATTGTCTATTATTGCTCTTATTAATTTTAACATCGTAATTTTATATGAATTCACTTCATTAGTTCTTCTTTTGAATTGCTTTTCTATAATGGCTACACATAATTTTATGCTAAAGTATTACGTATTTTTACAGGCTAAAAAGAACTGAGATTTCTTCGTTTTTCTTAATGGTGGTGGTTTTTATCTACTGTGGATGGCTATTAAATTTTTAGCTTTTGCATATACATATACAGCTTCTTTTCTATTTTACTACTTTCTGTATTTCCTTTTTAAAATTATCATCTGATTATTTTCAAAAGTGTGGGGTGTAACTACATAAGTACAATTAATTACATTTTTGTAGGAAAATAATTTATACTTCGACTGAAATTGTATACTTTGTATTAACTTTTATGAGATGAGATATTATAATGACATAATTACTTCTTGTATTATTTGTAATCCTTTATTATCCAATATAATCTCGGCTGGCGTCCATGTGGGCGGAAAACTTACGGGGTAGTGAAAAAAATGTTGACTTCCTAACTTATGAAAAGAATAATCAGAACAATTTTTAAGTCACTTACTAAAAAACAGATTTTGAAAATTCCAATTATAGGGGAATAAAAAAGAAGAAAAGTCTTATTTCTATGAATGATCTAAATCTCAATAGATGCTTGCTGTAAGTGTGTTAACTTACTTTTGCACTCTTCCTTTAAACTGCTTCAAAGGTTCAAATTAACTGGTAACTGGTAAAGGTGGGGCAAAATCAAAATCTCTCGTGGAAATTCCATTTGTTTCTCAAGAAATAAGATTAGTGCAAGCGTGAATATTAGCAATTTAGGCATGACATTAGGGGAAGTTCAATTTGGGTTTAGAAGAAATAGAGGAACGTGGGAGGTCATTCTGGCTTTACGGATAACAATATAAAAAACGATAGAAAAAGGAAAGAGTGCGTACATAGGATTTGTAGATTTAGAAAAAGCTTTTGACAATATTAAATGGGACAAGATGTTAAATATACTTAAAAATGTAGGGATGAGTTAGAGAGATAGAAGAGTGATACTTAGTTTGTATACACAGCAACAGGCAGTTATAGAGATGGAGCAGCAAATTAGAGAAGTAAATTTTAGGAAGAGAGTCAGACAGGGACTCATACTAGTGTGACAGCTGTCATCGCTACTTTTTAATCTGTACACCGAAGACGCGATCAACATCATTAAAGACAGTAGAACTGTAGGGATAAATATAGTGGGGCAACAGATTAGTATGCTTACATTTGCCGATGATATAGGAGTATTAACATCTAGCAAGGAGGGGAGTTAGAGATTGCTTTAAATAAAATGGAAGCGGTATTGACAAAACAGTACTGCATAAAAATAAATAAAAGTAAAACAAAAATATTGTTATGCAAGGGAAGAAAAGGTAGGGAAGTAGCGAATATAAAGATATGAGACGACAAATTAGAGGAAGTGGCTGATATATAGGAAGACAGATAAGTCAGAACGGAAGGAGTAGTATGGAAATAAAGCAGAGGATAACGCAGGGTCGAGTCGCCTTCAAGAAAAAGAAGTCACTTTCATGCTCGATTGTTAAAGGTGTACGTTTGGAACGCGGCACTGTACGGGTACGAAACGTGGACGGTGGGCACGGCGGGAAAGATAAGGTTAAAAGCGTTCGCAATATGGTATTACAGGCGAATGATGAGGGTGCCGTAGTTAGAGGAGGTTAGAAATGAAGACGTATTAGAAAGGATAGGAGAACAAAGGACTATGTATATACAAATGCAATTATATAACTAAATCTACCCGTCAACAACTTTTACCTACAGCGGAGAAATTGCTGGCAAAATCAAACGCAGCTATTCGTACATCGCACTTCTGTACTTGCTAACCTATGAAAATACAACTAATCATCTAACTATCTAGCCTAAAAAACTCAGACTTCATATTTGCGCTTCTTGCCTCCACCAATTTTACTACACTCACTACACTGCATTTCGTTTCTTATCAAGGCTGCCCTTCGTTTCTCACCTTTCACCGTTTCCATCTTTTGACTATCTTGCTGCCTACCGCTATGCTAGACGAATCTGTCTTCTGCATCGTTACCGGCTTGCTCCTTATAAACGTTACGTTTTTTACCATTTTCACCCCCCTCGTCCGGATTCTACTGACCTATTTCCTTTATGAACTTTTCCATCACTTCCTCGACGAAATCGTTCGTATCAAACACTGTTAAGACGAAGCTAAGTCACCGTCTTTGTTGTCTAATGCTAATCCGTTTCCGAACGCTGAGTTGTAAATGTTACTGATTTTTGTTTTCATGAAAAAGGGAAAATCTTCAAAATACGCCCAGCAGTTTGTACGACGAGGGTTAAAACATGTATAAAAATAGGAGACAAGGAACTACACCATACGAGAAGAAGTCACCGATTTTCTGTATTTAAAAACATAGGTAACTCACAATGGAAAAAGCGTTAGAGACATAAAACAAAAAATTGTGCAAAGTCGAGTCGTTTTTTACAAAAAGAAATCAATTTTGTGATCGAGATCGAATAACTTGGAAATTCTAAAACTATTGTTCGTGTTTATGTTTGGAGCACGGCAGTATTGGTGTGAGATGTAATCGGTAGGCGAAAAAAATTAAAGAGTTTGATGCATTGGAGGAATGGCGTTATAGGAGGATTTTAAAAATACCATGAGTAAGAAAAGTTAGAAATGAGGAGGTATTGTATCGAAGAAGCAAATTTTTTACTGTCGTAAAGAAGCGAATTTATCTGTTCAATTTTTTTGACATATGATCACTTTAATATTATATTAAAAGCGATTTTATAATTAAGCATGGATATCATTGATTTGACTTCTTGATTATTCTTCATTATAATTATTGATTTCGCGATTTAAACGGTTAAAACAATTTAGATGTATCTACCAACTTTGAACCAGTGACCTAAATATGAATTTGTGGATAATATGTAACATGCCCAGCGCAGCCACCATGTATCGAAAAAGCGAATTTATCTGTTTAATTTATTTGACATATGACCATTTTCAATATTGAGTTATTATTAAGTAATGATATCCCATATCACAAATAATGAATTTTATATATTTAGAAATGGGATATCATTTATTGTAAACGCAAAAATTAATGCAAACCAAACATTTACTCAATGTAATAATGTCAATGCTATGAATGCATTGAGGCGGCGCTTTTCTGATACAGAAACAGAAATAGCGAGTAAGCAAAAATAAAAAAACATACTGGCGAACGGCTAATTTAGAAATTCGAAAAAGGTTGTTAAAGGTGTATGTTTAGAGCACGGCGCTGTACGGGTGCGAAATATGGACAGTGGGCGCAGCGGAAAAGAAAATATTAGAAGCGTTCGAAATGTGGTGTTACGGGCGAATGATGAGGATAACGTGGATAGAGAACGTTAGAAATGAAGAGGTATTGGAAAGAGTAAGATAACAGATGCCTCTATGAAAGTCAATAAGAAATAGGAGAGATAAGTTAGTAGGACAGCTTCCCAGGCATGAAGGTCTATTCAGAGACACATTAGAGGCAGAAACGGAAGTTAGGAAGGGTAGAGGTAGACCTAGATTAGATTACTGTTCGCAAATAATTAAGGATATGGGCTGTTCTAGTTTTAGGGAAATGCGAAGATTAGCGCATGATAGGAAAGAGTGGAGGTGTGTGTCCAACCAGTCTTATGACTGACGACTTTATGGTGATGAATTTAACAATTGCAATTAAATAAGACGTAAAAGATCTTTCGACTAAAACCACATCAAAAGACACCATCGAACGAAGTGCAGGTCTACACCATGTATTGAAGAAGCGAATTACTCTAAAGGAACGTAGAAACGGAAGGGAACTAAGACAGGGTGAGTGAAGACGATAAGTCGTCTCATCACCTTGCATCTTCGTGATCTTGAATTCGACTCAAGACTTTCGACTTCTTGATTATACTATATTTACTGATTTCGCCATTTAAACGGTTGCTAATTGACCTACTAACACAGTAAGTACGTAGGTCTTTGCTTGCAGTTTTAAATAAATAATTTAAATTTACTTTGTACCAGTGACCTAAATAAGAATTTATGGATACTATGTAACAGTATTAGAAACAGTAGCAGAACATAGAAGTATTATGGAAGTCAGTAAGAAATAGGCGAAATAGGTTGAAGGAACATACACCTTCTCAGATGTGAAGGACTAATTAGAAGCAGAAACGGGACTTAAGATTTAGATTAAATTACTTTGTGTAAATGGTTAGATGTAAGTTGCTTTAATTATCGAGAACTGCGACGATACTCATGATAGGAAGAAGTGGAGGTGCAAATCTAAGCAATTTTCGAGCTGAAAACTTTAAAAACAAATACGTTTTAAACCCATAAGAGTTAAATGAAACACTGTCACCAATCCCAAATCATCGCCTGCCAAGATCTTGATGCAAACTATAATGCAAATTTGTCTATGATGCAAATTTTAAACTGCTGCAAACATTGCAAAATGCAAGTCATGCAAAAGATTGGCAGATGTAACAGATTCCTGTGAACCTGTCAGCATTTGAATGTGACGTAATAGTGTCTACTAATTAATATCTGTGTACCTATATGTATCAAGCCTCCTCTCTTCCATCGGCATCCTTAGTTTCTGTTAGATCCATCCACCAACCGAAAACCAATATTTATTACCGACAAATACTTCTATGCTCGTGAACGATTAATTTAGAAATTCGAAAAAGATTGTTAATGTGTATACTTGGAGCGCAGCGCTGTACGGTTGCGAAACATGAACGGTGGGCGCCTCAAAAATGAAAAGGTTAAAATGTGATGTTACAGGCGAATGATGAGGATACCGTGGATAGAGAAGGTTAGAAAAGAAGAGGTATTAGAAAGAATAGTAGAACAGAGGACTCTATGGAAGTCAATAAAAAAAACATGAAGGTCTAGTCAGAGTTAAGAGGAGTAGAGGTAGACCAAGATTATATTACTGTAATAATAGTTAAAGATGTGGGATGTTGTAGTTTTAGGAAAATGCGAAGATTAGCTCAGGATAGGAAGGTGTAGAGGTGCGTGTCTAACCAGTCGTAAGACTGACGACCTTGTGAAGAAGAACAATTAATTACAAAACAAGATATAAAACAAATTTCCACCAATTTGAAAACAAGCAAGAAGTCGAACACTTTAAGAAAGATTGACTAGTATGTCACTAATGCCTATAGAATGTGAGGTGCTTAAAAACATATCTTTCGAACAACTGACTGGCGATTTTGGTTTTATCAATACTTTTCATTTAACATTCAATTTTAAGCATTACCCTATGAATGCTAAAGGAGTTACTGTTCCGAAATATATAATTGTTCAATAAATTTTGAAGTTTGCTTATCTACTCTTTTTGGCTGTTTTAACAAAATAGTCCTCTGTCAAAGTCATAA